AGACACTACAATTTGCATTTGTGTACAAAACGAGCATGGAGCAGTTTTGCAACGGAACCCCATCTATGTAAATATCGTGTGCTACGTACGTTTTGACTAATACGCGTAATCTCGGGCGTTTGAATTTTAATCGGATTATGGCTTGGAAGCACGTTTGTTTTGCATAAACGAATCGTAGTGCTTGCAGAAAATTGTATCCTTGTAATTTGCACAATGAATTTGCTTTAAGTTAACGTTAATATAAAAATTCTTTCTCATAAATATTTATGAGAAATACGTAATCATTTATTGTGGTTATTTGTATTCTCGTTTTTTTTTTGTAAATTGAGACACCAAATTTGATTGATTTGATAATTCCAATATGGAATACAATTGGATTTAGTTTTGATTAGATTTTGGGATTTTTATGTTTTGTTGTTGAGTTAACATTAAAATTAATGAGATTAACGTGCCTAATTCATAAAATATTTTGTTTAGATTTTGCAAAAAAAGTTGTAAAGTAAATATAAGACATTGCAAACTCGATTGTACGAATAAGTTTGCGTTTAATTGTATAAAATTACAGTTCTTAAAATCAATGTGAAGGAAGCTCTTCTTTCAGTCCATTGTTCAATTTTTATGAGTAATCATGATTCTTTTTTCTTTAAAAATGTCATCAATTATAACAGCAGCAAAAAGTGTGATCGTAATTATGAACATTTCAGGTGAATTATGTGGGTGTATGTTTTCATTCTATACGACAGCTTGATGACCTTGTTATGATAATTTACACGTATTGAAAAACTATAACAAGTCAGCCCCTCATAAATATTTTGCAGAGATATTTTGCAATTTTACATTATAATATTTAAAAGTATTCAATTTTAAAAGTTTTTAACTGAATCATAAACCCTCTACCTGACTACTTCGAGACGAAGGAGAGTACTGACTTACTATTGAAGGTTCATTTATCTATTGTATGTCCAACACTAATGAAGAGCAATCTTCCGGCAGCGACTTTGGTCTGTGTAGTAGCTAATGAATTTAATAATTTAATGTTGTAATGCTCAATAAGGAACAACTGAAGAAATTTCTAAACGGGCGATTCCAAAGTAGGGGGTATGGTTTAAATGGTCGATTATGAGTTTTTTGTTAGACCTAAGGTGAGTCTACTCACAGATTCCTAATCCCTTTGCGTAAAATAATCACATACGACGCTCTAACCTTTTAGAATATTTTCATATTAGATGATCAGTTAACAATCTGAATAACTTTGACGACCAAAAAGTGAACAATGTTTTTTTGGAGTTGCATTTATCAACTTGATTATTATTTTGTTAACGAAACCAGTAGCAAAATCAAGTACTTAACTTGTAGTAACAATTGCAAAATTTCTTGAACGATTGAGTTGGACACTGGATTATACCAATGGAAATGGATACTTCCGTCGTAAAAGACCAGTACAATCCAATATAATGAAAATGTGTAGAATCAAATTGTAAGAAATTATATTACTATCAAAAAGCCTATTCGAAAGAACAAGTAGAACAGTTCAGGATTATGAAATTTATTTATTTTACCAAGCAGAATGCTTTGAAAACGATGTCACAAAGACAGAGAAATGCACACAACGATTAATGATTTCCATATAAATACTTCGTGTTGACAATATTACGGGATATCCGGTTTGATGGTGAGGCTGATGTTGAAAGATTTCCAGGACGACGTTGAAATGTGTAAAGGACGAACCTGAAGCTTGTCAGACATAATACTAAGGAATGTTTGAAATAATACTTAGATGTGACAGGAATGATCTTGCAGGATATCCAGGCTATAATAGAATGTCAGAGGTAACATTAAGCGCATTATTGCCAACGGTGATTTTAAGAGATATATCTAGGACGATTCTAAGGATGCCTAGAATTATATTTATAAATGGCCGACACTTCATAGAAATATAATAGGAATAATGTTGAGGTGATAATATCTAAGATGATATTAAGGACATCCCTTAATGACACAACTTTAAGCATTATTTTTGCAGAATGTTGATAATTGTCAGGGATATCATCCGTGGCAATGACGTTGAGAGGTGCCAGGATGATATTGAGAAATATAGGACAATGTTAGGAATACCAGGAATAATGTTGAGGGATAACCAGACCGATTGAGGTAAGCTGTGGACGATATTGCTGTATGTCCAGGTTAGTGATGAAGAGTGTGTCAGATATAATGTTGAAGCTAGTCACAAATAATTCTCAGGGATATTTGGAAGAATATGAAGAAGCGACAGTTATGGTCTTGCGAAATATCCGGGATAATGCCATCGTCAGAGACAACACAAAGTCCTATCTCGAACGCTGTTTAGGAGTGGCAAGATTGATATTGGGAGAGAAATAGTGGTGATTATTCCAAAAGTGCTGCTCGAGACGATGTTGAGAAGTGCTAGGGATGATATTAAGATATGTTTAGGGAGATATTAAGGATACCAGGAATAATGTTGAACGATATTGAAATAAGCTTCGAACAATATTGCTGTATGTTCGGAATGATAATGAGGGGAGTCAGGGATGAGACTGAAGCTTCTCAGATGTTTGTTTCTCTGTTTGAAACAATATTGAGAGGTGAGAAAGATGGTCTTGCCAAATATCCAGGTAATGTTAAACATTAAGTGCTATCTAGAAAATGTTTAGGAGGTGTTTGGGAGATGTCTAAGATGAAATTAAGTGTTGTCTAGACATTAACTATTGAAAGATGGCCGGGACTACGTGGAAGTATACAAGAAACGTAATACTGAGGTGAAACGGATGATCTTGTCGCATATCCAGGATGATAATAAGGGATACTAGAGACAACACTAAGCGTTGATCAAAACGATATCGAGAAGTAGTAGGGATGACATTAAAACATGGCCTTGAAAGTATACTAGAAAACCTTGAAGTATACTAGAAATGATTGATTAAGGCTTTTAATAGGTAATGTGGTAAAATGTTCAACAGAAAACGAAGATATTTAAAGAAGTACGTAATCTTGTTCTTAGCATTACACAACACTAACAAAACGCACCAATATTAATACTGGCTATTACACATACAGAAAATACTGCTATAAAATTTCTACTAAAGTTACTAAAATTCTCCACAAATACTGTATTGTACATATACGTTTGTTCTAAATCTCAATTACCACTTTTGTCTGTATCGCTAAGTGTTGAAATTGTTGGGTCATAAAGAGTCGTAGAGTTGTGAATGTTAACCTTAGATTATCATTAATACACAATGATTACAACTTTTTTGTTTCCACCCTTTCCGGTTGCGGATGCAAGATAGTGTTGTAGGAATTAAAAAATTTCCTACATATAATATTTGATAGAGCACCCACAACCATTTATAACTTCAGAAGGTTCCTTTTTTTTGTTGTAAAATTATTGTAAAATAAAACGCAAATAACTGAAAATTGATCTAATTTACAGGTCGGCTTTAAATTTACAGACATTAATGTAATTTGGTTTTAAATTTTTCTTAATTAGATGCTAGTGTTTTGTATTTTCGCATGTGAGTTAAACTGTTTAGTAAGTACTGCAAAAATTACGATTTTTCAACCAATGAAATGCGAGGTATAAATCATGTTGTTTTGCTTAAACAAATTTTAATGGGCAATCATGACGTAAAGTTGATGCGTACAGGTTGTAACTGTTATTTAATAATTGTTAAATAAGATAAACATTATAGATCAAGACTCTTCAAAAATTGACTCTTATCAGCTACATTCATGTTCAATTTTGAGTTTACGATCAAAAAAGAAACTACATCAATCTATATTAAACTAGACCAATCAAATATGGCATAAAAACAATTTTGTGTGAATCTTGCGAAGTTAAAAATATTATTTTTGATCACGTTTTTAAAATCATGAACTAATAATACTAATACAAATAGCTCTCATAATCGTTTTTGATATTTCTATAGCGGTTTTGATGGAGGTTGTTTAATTCAAATTACACTTAATTCAAGGAGGACAAACACGTTTCAAATGAATTACGTAATTTATGTTTCTAATCGAATTTTTCTACGTTGATTGGCTCTTTGAAATTGCGTATTTTAATTGTACAACACGAATCTCAGACAACAAATATTTAAAAAAATGCAAATTTCTGCGATTATCTTAAACTGAAACGTTTCTGTTAACACGTTAAAAATAAATTTCTCGATCTTGATATACAAATAACCACTTTGATATTTTTTGACATTAGTTTATTACCTGCGGAAAATTTAATCAATATTCACCATAACTTAACTCATTTTAACGAATTCAACAATCCATGCACCATCATAAATACTTAATTAATGACATTATTTATGTCCATCGTGGCAATTATAAACTTTTGAATCTTTCATAACCGTGTAGATTTATACTACACCTGTCGGAATGCGTTTGCCAGGTCCTGGGCTATTCTATCTGTGAGAAGAAAACTGCACATAATCCGTGCATAATGTATGCGTTAGTGTTCGATTTAGACCCTCGCTTAGCGTTTCTTGCGCTGTACAGAAGGAAACACAGAAGACATACATATTAATCGTAACGAGAAAGGCACATGTTAATGACGGGATTATTACAATTTATCGACATGTCTGGCGCGATAACGAAGTAGGATACGATATTCTTCTCGTTGAGGATTTTTGGTAACACATGGCGGTTTACATTGAACGTCCACGTAACGTTTAACAGCCATAAAGCGTACGGGTCCGCAAGCAAATTTTCACGTTTGGAACAGGTTCTTTTACCGCCGGGTTTTACATAATTTTCGGCTTCCTTTATCGGCTCGAATTTGCTTGTGGAGGTACCTTTTTTTGAACATTACATTAACATATTTTTATGCCTTAAGTGGTACGTATATTATGTGCGTATTTAAGCGCACCGTTTTTTTTTTTCTTTTTTTTTTGTTTGTTTGAGCAGAGTAATAGGAAAATAAAATATTTAATATAAAAGGAAAATAAAAGAAAATAAAAAAAAATATGATAAATGGTTAAAACAGTTTATTTTTTTTATTTTAATCAAATGATCATAACAAAACATCTGAGCAAAAATGGAACTTTTCTTTTCTGGATCCTTATAAAATAATGATTTAAATTAAATACAAAATAAACAAAATTAAATAATTAAGTAGCTAGAAAGTTTTGTACATGCAAAACTCAATGTTGAATTCGTAAATAAAACTAAATCACTTTTCACAACAGGAAAAAAATCGTATGTAAAGGAATAAATAATATTTATACATAAATTAAAAAGAAACGTAGTACAGATATTCAGAGTACGAAGGATTTCTATAAACAACGAAAATATATAAGTATTTTTTGTCTTCATGAACACCTACACTTTTTTTCATTTTAGCGTAGCAATAATTAAGTTTCTTTAACTTAAGAACTAGAGCGTTAATATAAATAATGTTACGATATAAAAAATATAAACATGAGCCATACATTTAACATTAACATGTATATAAGAACAGAATGTGGCACATATTTTACATAAAAGGGCACTGGGTAACGATTTTTTAAACATTTTTTCCGTCACAAGTATTTATGATAATATACGAGACAAATTTCGTCGAAACGGATAAGCAACAATTAACCAATATTCAAAAAAAAAACAATCGAGATTTTCAATTTTTTATGAAACTAGAAAAAAAAATAATAAAATACGTACGTAAAAGTATCACAGTATCTCGTGTCTTTAACAATTATTAATTGATCAGCTGTATAATCTTTCCACTGACCTCTCACATCTTGCAATTGAAAATACAATTAATTATCGAGTCGTTAGGCTATTTATTATTATTTATTTGGACAGATTTCGAGCAACGGTCATCAATGTGTGCGATTTAAATAAACAAGATGTGTGGACGGGTCATCGTTTGGCACACTGTACAACAGACGTGAAACCACACACTGGAATGATATGAGATCGGGCGAAGGAGACAATAAGATACTTAACACACGAATTGACTTCCAACAGGTATTGTCGACGTTGATTAATTCCGTTCTTGTAAACAATAAACAAAAATAAAAATAAATAAGTAGAATCACCGCTCTCACAACCGTGAATTTTTTTTTGTTCCACCTCCTCCTCCTATTTTCTTCATTAATATTCTGTTACGTTTTTAATGCTGTTCTGTTTTAATTGTAACCTGTTCGGTTTCGTACCGTGCATGCGTACGCATGTGTCGTGTAATCATGTCCCTACGACATGCCGCGTACGGACATTGTGGACACTTGTAAGGTTTCTCTCCGGTATGCGTTCGTTGATGAGTCGAAAGATGGTCCGACCTCGAAAACACTTGACCGCACACTCTACATGTGTATGGTTTGACACCCGTATGTAGGCGCATGTGTCGCGTTAACATGTCACTACGCGCAAACGACCTCTTACAAACTTCGCACAGATAAGCTTTCGCGGTTGAATCGTTGCTGTTCTGTCTACTTTTGTGCCTCGAAGCCATATGTTTTGCTAGACGGTCATGTAAACTAAACATTTGACCACAAACTGGACAAACGTATGCGACATCGGACCCGGGAGGCATTTCTTCAACAACCGGACTAACTTCTAAATTATACCGCGAAGCTACCGATTCTTTTGTTGTTGGTGATGCGACATCTCCTTTAACAACGGGAACGGAAACGGTGCCACGTGGTGGAAGAAACCCAGTGGGTAATAATTGAAGAGGTGGTGGCACTAAACACTCCATACTCGAAACTTTTTCTCGTTTCATCGAAAGATCTAACGGAGAATCTTGTGGCGAGGATGTTTCGGAATCCAAAGATCCTTTTCCAATACCTGTACTGACTGTAAGTGGATGTGGCCAACCAAGAGAAGCTTTCGCTCTTTCCGCCTTCGCAGCTTCGAACCATAACGGGAGGTCGGAATCTGAGTGACTTCTTCTTCGAAAAATATCGGGCAGGTACTTGGAGTGTAGGTAATGTTCAAAACTATAAGGTGCGGGTACGGGTGAGGCTGACATTAATGGAGAAACAGGACTTGCGGGGAAAAATCGATCGTAAGGATGCATAGCAGGTGGATGATGACCCATTCCAGTAACACAGGAATAACAAGGACAAGGCCTAGATAATGGAGGACTAGAACTGGCGTCGTCCTCTTTTAGCCTCAGAGGACTAAAACTGATTCTGGGTGAATCACTCGAACTATGTGGAGATTTATTACTCGAACTGGCAGGACTAAAGACATCCTCGTCTTCACTGGCTTGTTGATATCTTTCGGAAGTATCAAATCGAAATACTTCCGACATATGTTTAGGCGTTTTTATAGCGTGACCATCTTCTTCTTTAATATTATTATTGACTTGTTGAATATTATTGTTAATTATAGGTGTCGAAGGAGTACTCGAAGAATGTGCACCAGCTAATTTATCTAAGACTTGACTCAACCTCTTTCGTTTTCTTTGTTTCCCGGCTATTGGATGGTTATGATTCGCAACGAAAGGGTGGTTATTGTTGTGCGGTTTAACGTCGTGCGTCGTGGTTTCAACTGCAGTCTCGGCCATCGTCATTTGCGAGAGGCGGCTGAGGGCCGCGGATCCCGAATTTTATCCTAAGGGATACTGACGATAATTATTCTTCGATTCGCTTACTTGTACGTATTTGGACGGTTGCTGTAGTATCTGAAACCAAAAGACAAAAGAAACTTAAAATCATGAAACAACAAGTTCTCAGAGAAAACGACGCGGCCATAAACTTTAGTTGTAACGGTAGAAATTCTGCAGTGGTTTCATAGGCGAGGAAGTCGCACTGCGGGATAACTTGCTCTAGTAGCAAGTCCCGACGCCACCACCCTCGCAAACGTCGCATTGCACCACCGACGCTATAAAATTCGACGTGCCGCATGCTCTAGCTGTCTACCAGATCCCCAGACAAAGCTCCCCACATGATAAATTGACCGAGGAGTGTTGCCAAATTACCGAATGGAGAGCTAATTTTTTTTGAACGATTTATAAAAAGTAATGAATGCAAATCAGTGGAACGGGAGGAAGACATTAATCTTTGTTTTCCACTATTTTTTTAGGGTAATATCTTACATCCTGTCATTTTATAAAGTGTCGGAACTTGTTGACGTGTAGGTATCAATCATTGATGGCGAAACCTATTTAAACGTTCATTTAATCTTTTTAAGGCTTATACAACTGTTAACAGTCATGGTATCCATAAATTAGTTGCTATTAATAATGAAAAGAAGTTGTTAAAAGAAAAAACGTTCTAAGAGTTTTTTAGTATAACGCAATAAATATTGGAAATTGTATCAGTAAAAGTATCTTAAATCGAAAGGGAAGTTATGTAAATCAGTTTACAAGTGCTGAAAAGCTCGTGCTAGGCAATTTATTGCCCTACGTTCTGAGTATTGGCCGCTATTACGAACAAAATTGCGGAAACCCGTCTATAGATGGGATCGGATGGCGTGACCATCAACGGCTTTGTAAAACGGGAGCAACCGTAGCAAAAGTTTATATCTGTTTGAATCAACGCTTAATTGTGGACAATTTAATTAGCAGGAACGCCATAGCTCCTATCTTAAATACCAAGACAGATTTAAGAGTTACAACTCATGAATAATGGAAATTAAAATCAAAAACAAGAAATTAAAAAAAAAAAGAAAGTGAAGCTTTAAATTAAGACTATTATGTTGTTTTTTTTCCTTTTTCATTGCAAACTTAGAAAATAAATAAGAACTACGTCTGGTTTTATAGTGAAAAATGCATGCGGACGTGCGAACTAGCCAAGAACAAGCTCTGATTGGAATTGTAACGCGGCAGGACGACCGTTCCCGGAGCACACAAGAACTCCCAAAGCCCCATTAGAACTGAATTTGTTACGGCACCACATAAATTATTTATAGATTTCGCGGCAACCCGCCGTCGGTTGGTCTTTCGAGAGTTTTTCCGCGTCCGCGTACCACCTGCCCCATAGCGTAAATTTAATAAACAAACTCCATTGTAATTGAAAATTGCGTTAGCCATCATCCAAAGAATGAAAGTAAGACCTTTCTGCCTCGCCCCGTTTCACCCGCTGCTACGGTAGCGTTATGCCACCAGATGGCCCGATTGAATTGTAACGTGTAATTTCGTATAGATTAGACCCAGCAGTTTCTTTTCCGATTGCCAGACATGCGCCATTATGCCCGCGGAAGATAATTAAGATTCGAATAAAGAAAAAAAAAGTTACCACGTGAATCTACTACGTAGATAATTATATCTACGTTTCAATATGTTTTGGGGGCAATACACTTGGTGAATTGTTACCTTTAGAAGAGAATTAGTAGGGAATTAGGAGAACGTTAGCCCAAAGCGACAAATAGAACTGCTGCTCATCGCGATAAAAGACCTTAATAGGTATTAAATTACAACTTTTTCCTTTCGTACGGTGATAATAGATAGACTGCCGTCACTAAACTCTCTCGCAGCAGGAGATTTTTTTATTTAATGCATTGTGTTCGCCTGCAAAAACATGCAAATAGAAAGTGGCACGTTTAACATTCATTCCCGAAGGTGTTGTTTTGGTTGGATAAATCGAAGAGGGATCGATTTAAAATTCAAAATAGTCGATAACTCCACACCTACAATTCGTTAAATTTTGTTTTGTTAATTAACGTACAAGTTCGAAGAACGGATTATCTTCGTCCCATTCATTTAAGAACGTTTATGTTAATATACAAAGCCGTAGGCTGCATATTTATAAAAATAAACTATGCTCAACACGCATACCACACATATAGTGCTTTTAATAAATCTAATTTGATTATTAATTACTAAATTAACGATAAGAAAAATTTTTTAATTATATATTTCATGTAAATTGAAAACTGATATGGGGTGTTATGTAAGTACAGTAGAACCTCGATATAAACCCGAAACTTTCTAGTTGTAGGTCTAGTGCTAGTTCTAGTTTTAGTTCAATGAAAAATATACAACAATCTAACGCTGAATAAAAATTAAAACTGGAATTAACACTGGATCTAGAAACATTCGGATTTAGCCGCACGTCTCTCAAGACGGCTAAACCCGAATGATTCTAGTTCTAGGTCTTGTGTTAGTTCTAGTGATAGTGCTAGTGTAAAACTAGAACTAACACTAGACCTAGAACTAGAAACATTCGGATTTAGCCGCACGTCTCTCAAGACGGCTAAACCCGAATGATTCTAGTTCTAGGTCATGTGTTAGTTGTACTGATAGTGCTAGTGCAATACTAGAACCAACACAAGGCATAGATCTAGAAACATTCGGATTTAGCCGCACGTCTCACAAGACGGCTAAACCCGAATGATTCTGTCTGTAAATCTAGAACTAACACTACACCTAGAATTAGAAACATGGAATATTAGTTACTTGGAAAATAACCCGAGTTATTTTACTTATGGGAACTAAATCAAAAATAACTCCTGTTAGATTCAGTTGAAAGTTTTAATTAAATAAATTAATTCATGTAGACAAGACTTGTTTTATAACTTCTTTTTGTTTTGTAACTAATTATGAAATAAGATGAGCTTGAAGTTTGCCTACTAACTAAAATAACACCTTGTATAATTAAATAAAATTATTCATTGCAAGAAAGACAAAGATGTTTGAAAGAAAGAAATAAAAAATAAATAAGGAGATGTACACAAAGTACAAGGAGAAATACAACAAGAGGTGGAAGGGTTCTTGTTTATTTGTTGTTAGTCCTGAACGCGCAGTCCGCCTCTTAATAAATGGTAATTATAGTTAACATCGCTATTGGAAACAGAAGCACCTGCAACAAAGACCACAGTGCGCCCGCGTTCGTGTTCGAGTTCAATTTTATTAAAACGCCTACTCCGGGGCAAATGAAGTGAACTTCTCGTTCTTCGTCTTTCTTAACGTCTTCTTGACTTCTTCTCTCAAGGGTCGTCGTCGTCGTCGTCGTCGCAACACGGGACGCGCACACACAAAGGGTTCCCGATAATGTCGGGACTGCGAGCACGCCATTATCAAGATGTAATAAATCTCCCTCTATTAATGGCGAACGCAAGCCATATTTTGACGCATTCAATTAAGCCGTTGTAGGTAATACGTGGGAGAGAGAACCGAATCTATTGTATTTATTTAATAGTTTATTAATAGAGCCCCGCGCTGCGTTGATGGAAGGTCACCGATTTAATTAGTTGCGAGATGAAGTTTTTTTTTGCTTTACTTGGTCCGAGTTGTTGAGACAAATACAAAATCCGATCGCAAACCTTACACGGAGAAAACACTGGACAATTAAAACCGGAGTGGTGACTAATTGATTTTATTAGTGTGGCGACGTCGATTCGGAATCTTTTAATCGTACTTTGATCAGGTACCAACTGAATTGATTTACAAAACGAAATCGAATATTGACCTTAATATGAATTTCATGATAAATCAACAATATCTCAAAGATTTCATTATTACTATAAAATGTCATACTTTATTTTCTTTTGTTGACAATGCTCAGAAAGTTTACAACAAAAAAATTACCAATCTAAATTGTAACAGATTATTTCAAACAAATCCAAAATAAAAACGCATTTATTTATACTATTATTGAGTGGATGAGATTTGAGTGAAATAACTTATGACATTATAACTAAGGATATGGCCATAAAATGCCACATTAAAGCTTCTAAACAATACAATAAACCAGGATTATGATATAATAGACCACATAACTTATTTTTACAGCTATATTTCATTTTTAATTCATAAAAATACGGTGAAAGGATTCTTCATTTCGATATCTTCGTAAAGAGATCTCTCGGTGTAAATAAACGAAGCGAATAAAAAAAAGTTAAAAAAAGAAGTAGTATAAGTACTGGTTGCGCATTACTTTCGCCATGCCCCCTTCGAGTGAAGTGAAGGACCGACTTCTTCGCGGCGGCCCTCTACCATCTCAACGGGGAATAATTATCGGTCTTAATCAACGTGTCTCGGCTGTCCAGCGAAATATATGTAATTAAGACCTTGCGGGCCGCTACCGTGTGAACTCCCGGCTCAAGATTCACGTACGTCACTCTGATTAAGCCTAATTACTCATTCGGTCTCTCATCGTCGGACAATGAACACTACAACTAATGGAAAAAAACTACATTGAAGAAGATCACCGATTATTATTTATATTAACCACGCTCAACTTCAAAAGTTGTATGGATTATAGTAAGTGTTTGTTGATGATGAGAAGATGAAAATTAAATTTTTTAATTTGTAATGTAAATTAATTAACTTATAAATGACATAAATAATTAACCTAACCCAAATCATTCTAACATTTATGTAACTTTGCTGTTGTTAAAACCTGAAGACGTGATATTGCCCAAGAAACGTGTTTGATATTGATCAACCTCGGATTTAAAATACTGGCAGTGATAAGTGTGATAATACATAAGCTAGATTAGACTGCTGAAACACTCACATTTCAGAACATTAATGTTTAAAACAAAAACCATGATGATGATATTAGTTAACCCTGGAAAAGAATTTTAAAGAAGTGGGATATTATTGATGAAATGATTTGAATACACAGACTTAAGGTACCAATTCAAAACGAAGAGTTAATCTGTTGTTCTGATAACTAACGAATCAACAAATTCTGGTTGTGATCTCCATGATAATCTTGGTGGCAGAAACTTGCCAAC